TCGTCGCTTGTGGCACCCTGCATCCATCAGCTGCCGAAAAGCTTCCGTTGCCATGGCTCCAGGACCTGAAGCGAATGGCGAACAGCGCACACATCGTGGTGCAAGCGCTTCTGGCACACATGGAAAGCTGTCCGGACGAAGACTTGCTTGAGCAAATGCCAAAGTTTTGGGATTGTTCTGTTTGGGCGGAGGAGCCCGGCAGCTCCTGCGAAAGAGTCATAAGCTTGCTGAATAGGTGGTGCAGCCAAGCAGGACAGGGGCAAGAAGCAACATTGTTCGCTCTCAAAGCCTTACAAGGACTTCCAGTAAAGCGGCTGAAGAGTCTGGATATCTTGTACAGCTCGCCAGCCTTGCCAGCTCAAGTGTTCCAACTTGTGTTGGGGTCATACACAATGAGCAGAGTTGATTGCGTCGAGCAGAGCGTGCAAGAGGCTCTCAACAAGATCGACGTGCTCCAGCAAGATGTGCAAGAAGCCCACATGCAGATCACTGCTGTCCATGATGATACGCTCAAGGCATTCAAAGTTGCGCAGACTGCACAACAGGATGCCAACAAAGCTTTGCACGCCCTCGAGGCAGCACAGGGGGAGGCAACCAGAGCTCTGCAAGAAGTGCACCAGCTTGTTAGAAGGGTGAGTGAGACACAGACGAGGTAGACAGCGGACACCCCCCGGCCGCATCTTTACGCCAAGCCTGGCAGTGCCAGGTAGGTGATGGTTTTCTGTACAAACGATTTTGGCAGAGCGGCCTAGCTGTACAGCAGAAGTTCTGGCTTTTCGCTCTGAGCTTTGGACAGCGTCTGATTGAAAACGTGCGTGCAGCATGCCTGGAAGTGATGTCGCTGATGTCTCCATGGTCCGATCTTTGTCGCAGAAGCTTCTTAAACAAAACCTTGCTCCTTCTAAGGTGTGCGATGACCACATTCGCGCCCAACTTCCTCTCAAAGGATACAGTGTAGCTGCTGAGGTGTCTGAGGGCACCAAGTCAAGCCTGAACCAGGCAGGCATGCAAGGCATATGGAGCCTGCGGAGTAGGTAGTAACTGGGAAAAGGCAAAGAGGTGCCAGTGCATCCTGGCAGTTTTTTTTCAGCGCATCGTCGAGCAGAAACCTGAGAAAATTACCTACCCATCTTCGTGTTGCCCAATTAACTGCAGGCTGCCAAAACGGCCTAGCCTCCATGTACCGTGGAAGCAACATTCAGGAATTCAGACAGGCATGAGCGAAGCTCTCTAAAATCCAGTAGACAGATGCATTCCCAAATTTGTGCAGGTTGCAATTTTTCCCGCGGCGCATTTGCAGGGACATGGATGCAGCCAAGCCACACAGTGCAAGTGCTTTCTGCGGTGGCTATCTGACTTCTCGGATCAAACCCAGGGGCACGAGCGGCATCAGGAAACAAGTCTAGGCCATACTTCTTCCAGTATAAATGATTTGTACATGAGTCCGGATCCCTTCCAGCAAGCCGCAAGCCCGCCGGAGACGAGTCGGAGCCCAGCCACCCGAGCGGGCAGCCATGTCTTTTTTCTGGCAGATCCAGTCAGAATCGGAAGAGGAAGAGTCAGAAGCCAAGCTTCGCAGCTGTGAACATGGACTGCTGTTCGGAATTGGTATTCGTTGAAGTCCGGATCGTACTTCCTGTTCGGGATCCACCTGGC